CTGATAGAAATATAAGGTCCTTGATATATGATTGTGGGATCTAGCACTTGGAAATAAATAACAAATAAAGAGAAGGAATTTCTGGGACATGGCTTCCCAAGTTTCTATAGAACATTGGCCCCACAGATGTTCTGTAAGAAAGGCATTCCCTGCCTGGCTGGCGTGGCTCAGTGGTTGAGCATCGACCTATGAACCAGGAAGTCATGGTTCGATTCCCAGTCAGGGCACATGCCCGGGTTGTGGGCTCCATCCCCTGTGTGGGCTGTGCAGGAAGCAGCCAATCCATGATTCTCTCTCATCATTGATATTTCTATCTCTCTCTCCCTCTCCCTTCCTCTCTGAGATCAATAAAAAAAATAATAATAAAAAAAGAATCACCAAGGCCATTTGCCAACACATTAAGAAAAAGAAAGAAAGGAAGGAAGGAAGGAAGGAAGGAAGGAAGGAAGGAAGGAAGGAAGGAAAGAAAGAGAGAGAGAGAGAGAGAGAGAGAGAGAGAGAGAGAGAGACAGACAGACACAGGCATTCCCGGTAAAATTTAAGAGAGACGCCTCAAAGATCTGTCTGAGGTTTGTTAATGAAAATTAGCATATGAAGGGCTCTGAGAAATCCTGAGGAAACCTTTGATTAATTCACCATTTTCTAAATTTTCAGGCCATAGACAGATTCCGCCTTATATTCATTTCTACTAACATCTCATGGAATTAGTGTTCCATGGATTAAACTTTGGAAAGGACTAAACTACAGAAACATACTTATCCAGATTTCCATTTCCCCCTCAGTAAATCTTTATGTAATTCAGTTTTTAAAAATTCTAAGTCTATATGCACAAGTAGAGATGCAAACCTTGGTAAATTTGATGCTCAGGGAATGATAGGATGTTCTGGCTAATTTTTTAAAAATTAACCTTTACAGTAAGTGCTAAAATGCATTTAACTTTTATTGAAAAGCTTTCTGCAGCATTCTCAAACTTTAATATGATATGATCACCTGGGAATTTTGTTAAAGTGCAAATTTTATTGGGTGGGTCTGGATGGGAATAGAAGTTCTGCATTTTCTAATCAGATGGTGCCAGTGGGATTGGTCTCTGGGCCACACACTGAGTAGCAGATTTCTTTTCTGCCTTGGTGAGCAGAGTAGAATAAATATAATAAAATTGTTATTTTGAATAACATTGTACATGTTGTTGATAGAACCACACACTGAGATAGTTTAAAGTTTTAAAAATATCAACTTGTTTTCTTGATACTATCTTTGTCATAAAAGTAAATTGGGAACTAAGGGAGAAAAGTTGTGGCTATAGCAACATCTATATCAGCACCTACCATGAAATCTGATACATTATAGATACGTAATAAATGTCAGTTAATTAATTTATTTGTCATTAATTTTATTGGAATTAATAACTCTCGAAGTGACAGGGACACATCTGCCAAGGAGATAGTTAATGATAAGAAAATATTGCTAAATAATAGTGAAAATGAACTATTAGACTTGATAAATTAGTTCAGCAATGTAGCAGGATACAAAATTAACACCCAGAAATCTATGGCTTTTTTATACACCAATAATGAGCTCACAGAAAGAGAAACTAAAAAAACAACAACCCCATTTACCATTGCAACAAAAAAATTAAGATACCTAGGAATAAACTTAACTAAGGAGGTAAAACACCTGTACTCGGAAAACTACATGACATTGAAAAAAGAGATAGAGGAAGACATAAAGAAATGGAAGAATATACCATTTCATGGATTGGTAGAATCAACATCATTAAAATGTCCATACTACCCAAAACAATCTATAGATTCAATGCAATCCCCATCAAATACCAATGGCATATTTCACAGACCTAGAACAAACTCTCCAAAAATTCATTTGGAATAAAAAAAGATTCCGAATAGCTGCAGCAATCTTGAGAAAGAACAATGTTGGAGGGATGACAATACCAGATATCAAGCTATATTACAAAGCCACTATTCTCAAAACTGCCTGATACTAGCACAAGAACACACATATAGATCAATGGAACAGAACAGAGAACCCAGAAATCGACCCAAGCCATTATGCTCAATTAATATTTGACAAAGGAGGCAAGAGCATACAATGGAGTCAAGATAGTCTCTTCAATAAATGGTGTTGGGAAAATTGGACAGGTACATGCAAAAAAATGAAACTAGACCGCCAACTTACACCATACACAAAAATAAACTCAAAATGGATAAAGGACTTAAATGTAAGATGAGAAATCATAAAAATCTTAGAAGAATCCATAGGCAGCAAAATATCAGATGTATGTTGTAGCAATATCTTTACTGATACAGCTCTTAGGACAATGGAAACTAAGGAGAAAATAAACAAATGGGACTACATCAAAATAAAAAGCTTCTGCACAGCAAAGAAAACCATCAACAAAACAACAAGAGAGCCTACAGCATGGGAGAACATACTTGCCAATGTTATATCCAATAAGGGTTTAATCTCCAAAATTTATAGGGAACTCATACAGTTTAACAAAAGGAAGGTAAGCAACCCAATCAAAAAGTGGGCAAAGGACCTAAATAGATACTTTTCAAAAGAGGACATACAGAAGGCCAAGAGACATGAAAACATGCTCAAAGTCACTAATCACCCGAGAGATACAAATCAAAACGACAATGCGGTACCATTTCACACCTGTCAGAAGGGCTATCATCAACAAATCAATAAACAAGTGATGGTGAGGATGTGGAGAAAAAGGAACCCTCGTGCACTGCTGGTGGGAATGCAGACTGGTGCAGCCACTGTGGAAAACAGTATAGAGTTTCCTCAAAAAAATTAAAAATGGAACTCCCATTTGACCCAGTAATCCCACTTCTAAGAATATATCCCAAGAAATTAGAAACACCAATCAGAAAGGATATATGCACCCCTATGTTCATAGCAGCACAATTTACAATAACTAAGATTTGGAAACAGCACAAGTGCCCATCAACAGATGAGTGGATTATAAACCTGTGGTACATCTACACAATGGAGTTCTATGCTGCTGTAAAAAAGAAAGAACTCTTACTATTCGCAACAGCATGGATGGACCTGGAGAGCGTTATGCTAAGCGAAATAAGCCAGTTGGAGAAAGATAAATATAACATGATCTCACTCATTTGTGGAACATAATGAACAAAAATAGATCCAGAGACACAAAGCATCGAACAGACAGTCAGACCTCAGAGGGAAAGAAGGGTGGGTGGGAGGGCAGGATAAGAGATCAACCAAAGGACTTGTATGTATGCATATAAGGAAACCAATGGACACAGACAGTAGGGGGATGAGGGCATGTGCTGGAGGGTGGGAGTGGCCGGGGAGAGATCAATGGGGGAATATGGAGACATATGTAATACTTTAAACAATAAAGAATTTAAATTAAAACAAACAAAAATAATAATAGTGAAAATGTTGCCAAACATATGTTTGCCAATTAAATAATATATTATGGAGAGTTGGTAGAGATAAGAATTAGATGTGCTAATAGGTGTTGGGACCTACCCCTGGCTCAGTAAAGGGAAGAAAAGAACCAGAAGGTGCTAATAAGGAAAACCATGCTAGGGAAGTGAATGGACACAGGAATCTGTGCCCCAAACATATGCTGGAATAGTGAATGAAGATAAGCCTTCATTGGGCAGTCTACCAGTTGATCAGGGGGCTGTCTGGAGAAGGAAAGAAGGAGATATAGATCTTCCCTACTAACCCATCTACCTGCTACAAATTATGCTAAAAGGACTAAATTGGTATAAGTTATTTTCATAATTCCTTACTTGGTGCATCTAAGTATTTGTTAACTAGGAGAGATTAGCAATATGAATTATTATTGATTTCTAGCTTCAAGTCTGAGTACATGCAGAAGCTGAAGTAAAATAGAACTCTGAGAAACAGTATTACATCCAAATTTCGGGCTCAGTGTTGAAAGTGCAGTGTGCCACAATCTATCTTCTACAGTTTAAGAGAGAAAGCTTGTAACAAAGAAGCCCACTCAAATTTTCATGTAGATATCTCCTGCCTGACATTAAAAATATGTATTTTTCAAGAACACTAGACTTTTTCCTTTAAATTAAAAAAACACACCAAGATTTTGAATGATTATTTCCCATTGTATTGCTCCCTTCCTGTCACTGTTTTGAGCCAGAACATGGAGTCCTTGGTGGGGAAAGGAAGGGCATGATCATCAATCTCCATTAAGAGTCTTGAGTAGTTTGTCCTCTAATAATTTCTGAGTTAATAGACATGTAAATACTCATGTAGTTAGGCAAGCTGTTCAGCCACATTGGACATGGACTTAAGTTCTGCGTGCACCTTTTACAGTCACATTTCAGATAATTGCACAGGCATTTTAAAATTCTACTCTTTTTTCCAAATAAACTCCTTGGAGTTATGCCAACAAAAACAGAATCCATTCTATATGAATTTGGTATTGGGTGGGGAAGAGAAGGGATTTATTATTATGTTCTAAATTTGTTTATGATATGGGGGTACATTAGAGCAGTGTCAACCAAAGTACGTTCATACTGAAACCAAACAGGTGTTCAAATTCACTCTAGAGATGAAAGCTAGAATGACCCAAGTGCAGGAAACCACTCTTTATTTTATTAACTTCAGTCTACTTATTATTGTCAATGCTCTACTCATATATTTTGTCTTAAGATAATTTTAAATATATCTCCCTCTTCGTCATTCTTTTTTCCCTTATACTAGACATCTTGTTTTCCAAAATGTGGTGCTACAGAAAATAATTTCACTTCATGGAGAGTGAGAAAGGAGAATTTTTTTAAATGAATATTGTACTGTTTTCACCTAACAAGATGAAAATTCTTGCCCCTTATCAATGAAGTTAATTGATGAGTGTGAGTGTATTGTCTGAAATTTCATGACCTCTCTCCCTTGGACCAGCAAATGAAGGATGGAAAGATTCATCCCTTTTATACATATCAACCTTTTCTCCAGCAACCATGAATGAGTTCACTTACATTTGCAAGCATCTGGAGCAGAGAAGGGTCTCCGGAGTCCCGGTAGAAGCCTGGCTTACATCGCTGGCAATGCTGGCCTTCCGTGTTGTGCTGACAGTCATTGCAGACACCACCACTGCGATTCCCTGATGCCTCCCACACATTAATGTCAAAGTGACAGGCATCAGCATGTCCATTGCACTTGCAGGCTGGAAAAGAAGCGTGGAAGGAAAGCAAATCATTAAAAATAAAGTGGTAGGTTTTCTAATATTCAGTTAATTTTTTAAATTTTATTTTTAGTTTTTTGAAGAGTACATATTATTACAGTACATAAGAACCAAAACAATATAAATAGGTATACATCAAAAACTCTAGTCTCCCATCCGCATTTATCCTGTTTCCTCTTGCCTTTAATAGGTTACTACTTTCTTTAAAAAAATATATTTTTTAATTGATTTCAGAGAGGAAGAGAGAGAGAGAGAGATAGAAACATCAATGATGAGAGAATCATTGATCAGCTGCCTCCCGCATGCCCCCCACTGGGGATCAAGCCTGCATCCCAGACACGTGCCCTGACTGGGAATCGAACTGTGATGTCCTGGTTCATAGGTCGACACTCAACCACTGAACCACACCATCCAGGCATTACTTTCCTTTTTTAAAAAAGTTTTGGGGTATTTTTGGTGTATATGTTTAGTGTTTCTTTATAGATTTTTTGAGATATAATTGACATATTAGATTTTTAAATTAAAAAATAAGTTTGAAGACATGTCTGAAAGCAAATCAGTTGTAGATTTGTCTACGTAGGCAGAGATATAACAGTTACCTTAGCAACTGGAGTTGAATTTATTTTGGAAAGACTATTTGAGTGGCCACCAATTTTTTCTCTCTTTAATGGAAATATGTCACCATTTCCATTCCTGCTTCTTCTCAAGGTACTGTTATCACTGTGGGTCTCATGCCTTAGAAAAACCTAGATTGTCAGGCATTATTTGAAAATAATTCATATTGCAGATATAGGCCTGAATTTATGCTCACTAAGCCTGGAAAAAGTTCTGTTTGACAGGAGTTAATAACTTGGTAGGTAGATTTATTTGTCTTTCTATTCATCAGCTATTGTTGTACTGGTGAGTAAAGGTAGTTGCTTATGGAAGCCTTAATTTTCTATAGCAGAGGTCAGTAGTGTTTCCTATGTAATCAATTTCTGAAAGGCATTTCTAGGATTATCAGTCAGTAGCACCAAGTGACAAGTCTTTATGTTCTATATGTATTTAGATATGCAGTTGGATTCTCTGTAAAGGGCCAGCATGGCATTCTAGGAATTTAGGAGAAATTCTTCAGATTCTCTTGATGAGTGATTTAGAATAAGATTCCAGACCTTTTTTGTGTGGAGGTCAGCTGTATTTGAAAATGTTTGTGCTATTGTTTTTCATTGTTTCCTTGATATGTTATGATATTTTGAGAAGATTTATAATCTTTAAAAAGCATATTATAAGATAATTTAAGATTTATGCTTAGAGGAAATCCTTTACATTTCCTAGAAACTAAAATAAATCAGTTATGATGCCAAATTATGTATGAGAAGAGACTTCTCACAACTTTACCCACAGTACTTGCCTGTAAAGCCCAGTAAAATTGAAGTTTGTGAGTATGAACATTGTTATGGGCATGTGACTTCCTCTGAATACTTTGAATTGAAAAAAGAACCCAATGATTCATATTCCCATATTTTTTACCCTTCTATCTAATTTCAAACCTTAAACCCAAAGTTAACCTGGTAATGCAGTCTCCTTCTTGACTTACTGGCATAATTTCAAATCTGATTTGTCATTTTAAGTAATAGTATGATAGTATGGGGAGAAAGTATTTAATTTGGGATTCTGAAGATTTGGGACCAAGTCTTAACTCTATTTACTAATTTTGGAAAATTACTTAATCTTACTAAGCTTCAATTTCCAGATCTCGAAAATGGGATTAACACCACCTGCTTTATAGGGTTGTTTTGAGAAATGAGTTCATGAGTATAATTCATTAACTCTACTATGAGGGTTACTGAATACCATTATCCTAGTTGCTCTTGTGTCTGGCCATGTTTTTATGATGCCAAATTATTAGGAAGGGTGCTTAGGTGCCCCAAAGTGGCCAAGAAAATGAGCAACATATTCTTGGCAAAACAGTCATATTGGCAACTTGGCAAGCTGTCATTCTTTCCAATAGTTGAGGGCATAGTGGGCAGCGATACTGGCTATGTTTATGTCGGTCACCCACCACTTTATATTATGTTTCCAGAGACAACAAGGAGTCCACAGATAAGCTTACTTTGTAAAGAAGGCTCTGAGTCTTCTAGGCTTGGTACTTACTTCTGCACTCTTTAGGAGATCCTGTTTTGCCATCAGCTGCCTCCCAGGGGCGGTCATTGTACAATGGTGCACAATGTTGGCAGTGGGTGCCTGCTGTGTTGTGTTTACACATACACTTCCCATGGATCTACAAACAAAAATAAGTAAGAGCTATGAGCACAAACCATGCTAGAAAAGAGCATTTCTTCCCACAATCTCATCTCATTAATTGGCTTTAAAATATGACATTCATTCACCTATTTTTGTATATTTTTACATATTATATTTTAATGCAATAATGAATATCTTTGTAGCTAACTATCTGTGTACAGCTTTATTTATTTGAAATGTGTTTTCTAGAAGTCAAATTAAATGGTAAAATATGTATATCTTTAAGACTTTGAATACATTTTGTCAAAATGACTGGTTATTTTCTTTTAATCCCACAGTTTAGAAAAAGAGAGGAAAAGAGAGAGAAACATCAATTTGTTGTTCCACTTATTTATGCATTCATTGGTTGATTATTGTATGTGGCCTGACCGAGGATCGAACCCATAACCTTGGTGTATTCAGAAGACACTCTAACCAATTGAGCTACCCAGCCAGGGCCAAGTGTTATTTTGTGTGGGGTTTTTTTGTGTTTTTTTTTTTTGAGAAACAGTATAAAGGTAACTCAGCATAAAGATAATACCAGTCAAAAATTGTTTAATGAATATATACAAGGGAGCCCTGGCCAGATAGCTCAGTTGGTTAGAGTGTCATCCAGATACACCAAGGTTTCAGGTTTGATCCTTGGTCAGGGCACATTCAGGAATCAATCAATGAATAAATAAGTAGACAAACAAATAAATCAATAACTCCCTTTGTTTTTCTCTCTCTCTTCCCCAAATCAATAAGCAAAAAAGAAAACTTAAATACACACACACACACACACACACACACACGAGATTCAATACGTCAGGCAATGTTTGGCCCACAAAGCATTACAAAATATAATTTCGGTCTTTAAGAGAAGTATAAATGTAGTTAGAGAAAAAAAAGATTTACATAGAAAAAATTACAGATAAACTAGACAATAAATAAATACCTATGAAACAAAATGCTGTTGGAATTAAAAGTTGTGAAAATTACCATAGGTTGGCAGTTCTGGAGGGCTTTATGAGAAGGTTTGGGTTTTGAGCTGGTCCTTGAAGATGGACAGTATTTCTGACAGTAGCGAAGAAAGTTACCAGGAAGAGGAAACAAAATAAACCAAGGTGTGGTGCTAGGAGTCTAGGGATAATCTAAAATGTTTTGATTGCAAACAATCAAAATGACATGTATTTAGAATGGTCAGAATCAAAATGAGTTCCTAGAGTTCAACAAATCTGGAAATAGTTACACCAATACATTGATCTACTGCTTTGCCTAATTTAACACTCTAGTAAGTTGTGCTATTTTACCCAAGAGCCCCTTTCTCTTTTAATTATCTTAATATCCTATATAATAAAAGGCTAATATGCAAATTGGCTGGATGGCCAAATGATCAGTCACTATGACATGCACTGACCACCAGGGGGCAGACGCTCAGCACAGGAGCTGCCCCCTGGTGGTCAGTGCACTCCCCCTGTGGCTCACGGCTGGCGAGCACAGCGGCGGTGGCGGGAGCCTCTCCCTCCTCCTCAGCAGCACTAAGGACCCCTTGGGAGATGTCTGACTGCTGGCCCAGGGGGAGCTGGCCTAAGCTGGCAGTCGGACATCCCTCGAGGGGTTCCAGACTGTGAGAGGGTGCAGGCCAGGCTGAGGGACCCCCCTCCAGTGCATGAATGTGCACTGGGCCTCGTGTGTGTGTGTGTGTGTGTGTGTGTGTGTGTGTGTGTGTATCTTTATGGAGGGACTCTGAAAGTAGCATAAATATTATCCAAGTATGATATATAGCTATTGTGGAACTTATATTCACATATTCAAGTGCAAGGATTACATAGTGCTTGGAGAACTGCAGGCTACTTGTGAATAAACCACATGAGGCCTAAGAGTTATAATCTGGAAAATTTCATAAACAATGATCTTGGTGGTCATCTTGCTAAATTTCATTTCTGTGTATTGTAATGTAAGGTTTTTGTGCTTAATAAAAATTGATTATAGCTGTCTTTTTAGCTTTTAGGGATTAGTAAATAAATATATATAATTATTTATTTGAGAGGGTGGAATTGGCTCCTCAGAGTACCATGATGTTGTCAAAATTTTTGTTGGTATTTTTTGTAGAAATTCAACTAATGTTATAATTCAATTTATTGGTTTGGTCTTGGAATGCCCAAGTGTGAAGTGAATTATAGCTACCCATTTTCTTGGGCTTCTCTTTGTGACCATTTTTCCATAGGAGCTATTGATATGGAAAGTCCCATGGAGTTGTAAGAGTTTACTATACATCTCCATTTTCACATCCAGGCAAGCTCTAAAGATAAATTTGCACTTAAATTTGGAGGTCTGCAGGAATTCAGTTTCTACTGGTCTATAAGAGTGAGGTCTTTTCATTCTAGCTCCAGGATATCTGATTTTTCATATATTCTGGAAGAAATGCTCTAGTCCTACTGCTCTTATTAAATCTTTTTTAAAAATATATATTTTTATTGATTTCAGAGAAGGAGGGAAAGGGAGAGAGAGATAGGAACATCAATGATGAGAGAGAATCATTGATCGGTCGCCTCCTGCACACCCCACACTGGGGATTGAGCCTGCAACCCGGACATGTGGTCTGACCTGGAATCGAACTGTGACCTCTTGGTTCATAGCTCAGTGCTCAACCACTGAGCAACACTGGCGGGGCTTATTAAATCTTTTGAATTCAACATTCCTTAACATCATGAAAAGGGAAACTCTTTATCAAATAGCTTCTGCATGGTAAGATTCTTTAAAGGCTCTCAGTAAAAACTGAATAACTTTGTTTACTTGTATGAGATGCTGATTTCAAACAAAATGGAATCTTTGGAAAAACTGAATAAGAAAAACCTTCCAAAGTTGAAGAGTTTAATAAAGTGAAGGCAAACTTGAGTAGCTGAAGGAAGTTGATAGCATAATGAAGATCAGTCAGAGAAAGACAAGTATTATATAATTTTACATAATGTTGAATCTAATGAAAAAAATAAACAACAAAATAGAAACAGACTCATAGATAGAGAACAGTCTGAAAGCTATCAGAGGGGAGGGGGCTTTGGGGGGCTGGATGAAAAAGGTGAATGGATTAAGAAGTACAAATTGGTAGTCACAAAATAGCCCTGGGGATGTAAAGTACAGCATAGGGAATATCCTATATAATAAGAGGCTATTATGCAAATTGTCCCCTTGACCGGGAGTTCGACCAGGGGGCAGGGCTGGCCAGCCAACTGCCCGTGGCCCCTTACCCCGGCTGGCCGGATCCCACCCGTGCACGAATTCGTGCACCAGGCCTCTAGTAGTCAATAATATTGTAATAACTATGTATAGTGCCAGGTTGGTATTTGAAATATCAGAGGGACCACTTTGTAAAGTATATGATTGTCTAACCACTATTTTGTACACCTGAAACTAATACAAAATAATATTGAACATAAACTATAATTGAAATATAAAATTAAAAAAGAAAATGAACCAAAAAACTTAATATAAAGTTAAAAATAATAAATAAAAAGTCATGAAATGTATATATATCAGCTTAAGGATGCTGGAATTTATCCTGTAGGTACTGAAGACCCACTGAAGATTTTTGAATACTGAAAATATATTAAATACCCTATGTTATTTTCTTTAAACATATTTCTTTCTATATCACTCCCTATCTTGTCTTTTCTCGTTATTCTTCCTCCTTTATTATTTCTTTATTATTGTATCTCAGCTTATATTTTCCAACAGCCAGTGGTACCCATGTGTATTTTCTGATAATGTTCCAAATTTTAAAAGGTTGTTAATTCTTATTTACTGCCTTTTTGCATCCTTTATACTTTTTAACAACCATGTATACAGTACTATATAAAGATAGATACTACAAAGTACTGTTAGTTTTCTTTAGAGGAAGTAAACTATCATTATAGGTCAGTGTTTCAGGTTTGGTCCTGGAATACCCACAGCTCATAGGTTAGCCCTGGCCCACAAATTCCAGGCCTCAGGAGGCCACAGACATTTGGGGAAATCTCATCAAACATTCACATGTATCACAAGTTAATGTGGACAGGTCAGTTCCCTCTGGAGTAAGGATTTCAGAGCATTCCCTTGTTTCCCACATGCTGAGAATTGGGATGACCTCCCAGGGTCTGAAAGATGCCAGCCCAGCAAATTTTTCTGCACACAAAAAAATTCAAGGAGCTGTCATTTTGAGTATTACCCAAAATAGCTGTAAATCATTATCTAGATCATTTGAAACAAGAAATCCTTCCTCAGCGATACAACTGTTACTGTTCAAGCTTGAAAGATCACCCACTATTTGATGCTTGTGAAAAATGTGCAAGTAAAACTGTCTTCATTGAAAAAAAAACAAAGGAAACTTTAGTAACAAGTTAGTTAAACATAGCTCTTATTTGGTACACAAACATAAAGTAGATAAGGAGCAGGAAAATGGAATTATGTACTTAAGATTTATTTGAAGAGGAGTGGTGTCTGGCTATCTAATTAGAAAATGAGAAATCTACTTTAACAACAAATCTGTAGTTCCTGATTATCTAAGAGGTACACCTTGGCATTTTGGGCACTCTATGAGTTTTATACCCCCTCTATTATAATAAAATATTATTTTATTACAAAATTTTTCCTACTTATATCTAATATTATTTATTTGTTACTACTATTAACCTACTTGCAAATCACTTTTAGCATATTTATCTTACATGGAGGGACTCATACAAACTTTGAACCAGTAATTTAAAGAATTATTGGAACAGCATGCTCATTAATAGCTGTGCACTTTGGTGACAAATAGCCAAATAAATACAAAGAGAAAATTATATATATTATATTATATATATTATATTATATTATATTATATTATATTATATTATATTATATTATATTATATCATATCATATCTGAGGCTACAGACTCAGGAATCTAGGTGGGGAGCAAAATGAGGAAATTATCTTTGAAAAACATCACTGGAAGATACACAAGTCTTGCCTAGAAAAGCTGCTTTTTTCAGTTATT